TTGATTCAGGTCTTAAAAATGAATGTTACTACTAATCAGGTAAGTGGGACCTCCAATGTTACTGGAACTTAAAAAAAAAAATCAGGAGATCATTTATTTTAGGGATAACACGAATTGGGTGGATATAAATTCTTCTGGGTAAAAATGCCAAGAACTCCAGCGCTGCCTGGAGAACAGACCACCTCTGGTTTGGCTGTGACTGAGATATTAGAATCTGCTCTTTCTCTCTTCAGCTCTACAGAAGGTACTTGAAACCATTCTGAAATGGTATTTAATTCTCTCACATAACGCATGCAGTAAGCCCACTTTTTAAAACTTAGGTGATGACTAGTAATCTCACGAATGTGAAAATGCCAGTGGGGTGGGGCAACCATTCTGCTTTCGAACGCTGGAAGCTTTAAACATGAAGCAGAAGCTGTTCAGCAATAAAAAGAAATGAGCTATCCACTTACAAGGAGACATGGGGGCCCCTCCAGTGCATATGGCTAAGGAAAGACATCAATCTGAAGAGGAGGCTACATACTGTATGAGTCCCACTGTAGGACATTCTGGAAAAGGTAAAACTGTGGAGATAGTAAAAAGAAAATTGTTGCCCAGGTTGGGGGGAGAGAGGGATGAATAGGCTGAGCACAGAGGATTTTTAGGGCAGGGAAGCTTTTGTGTATGATACCATAAAGGTGGATACATATCCTTAGACATTTGTGAAAACCCATAGATTGTACCATACAAAGAGTAATGTAATATAAACTATGGATTTCAGTTAATAACAATGTATTAATATAGGCTCATCAATTACAACAAATGGGCCATACTAACGCAAGATGTTAATAATGGGGGAAACTGGGGAAGAGGGCAAAGTGAGAGAGTAGATGGGAACTCTGTATTCTCTGTTCGATTTTTCTGTAAACCTAAAACTGTTCCCCCCCCCACAAAAAAAAAGTCTCTCTCTCTTTTTTTTTTTTTTTTTTTTAGCAGAAGAGAATCACACTGTTTTTCAGCATCCTAGCATCTCTGTAGCTGACAGTGCCCTTGCAGAAAAAAAAAATTGATAATCCTCTCGATGCATAATACCAACTCAGTACTCAGGTTGTGACAACCAAGGAATATATGAAAGGTCAATTTAAATGTCTCAGTGGGTTGGAAAGACAAAGCAGACTTTGTGCCACAATAGAACTCATCCCATGGAACCGTGCAGATGGCAGGAGATAAAACAATACTCTTTATCGCCAGCAGATTAACCAGCAAGGACATGTTCTTTCTATTTATCCTATAGGCTCCTAAGGACAATGGGCCTTTTGTCCTTACACCTGTTGAAAGGGAAAGGAGCCCCTAACAGAGACCTAGTGGGGTTTATGTGAGGCCATGCAGTTCAGATTTCTTACCTTCATCTCTGATGGTACATCCCATTTCATAATATGCCTTCTAGCAAGGGAACTTGGAGATGGAGCCTTCAGCATTCAAAGGGAAAGAAGCAGGTCCAAGTTTTACTTGAGAAGAATGATGGAATGGAGAAATCCATGTAGGAGAGCAGGATAACAAAGTAGTGGCATGTTCTGGCTCTCAGCCAGCCACCAGACACGAGTTCCGGGAGGGTCCTGCTCCTTCCCTGTCCTCAGCTTCTAGCACCAGGCACAGGGTCAAGGCTCAACAGAGGTGAAGACTGCTGGATCAATGAACCTCCAGGACTTTGCTAAAGAAAAAGAAACAGCAAAATAATTCATCAAGATTGACAGCTGATTTTTCCAGCTGTTTCTCGAAAGTTTCCAGATAAACATGTCTGTGGGCACATATGTACTGATGACTTTTTTCATTCTAAATTCTTGCTTGTAATGGGATCTGTTGGTTTTACTGCCTTCTTTGTGGGGGGAAAAACACTCCAATTTTCTTTGGGTCAACCAAACTTCCTCTTAATTTTGGTGTGTGAAGTTTGATTTTAATACTTCCTTTTGGTTTGAAGGGATGGTCTGAGGCCCAGGCCTAGCCAGTTAGCTTTGTTTCCCCTTGGCCTCAGTGAAATTCAGAGAAAGATGTATAACTCAAGCTGGATCCATGGGATTCCCACCTGGGATTTTGCTGCTTGGTTTGGAAAGAAGTATTCTTTTTTTGCTAGGGTTGAGAAATGGGTAAAATGAAAGTCTAGGGTTACTAGTCAACTTCTTAGCCATCACTTGGGAATAATATCCTTGGGGAAAAAAGGCAAAATAGAAGAAAATTGAACTGAAAGATAGAGAAAGAACAAGTCCTGGTAAAAATATTTGAGTGACTTGAATCAGCCAAGCCTAAACTCAACCCATTTCCTGGACCCTTCACTGAAATGGGCAACTAAATTCCCAGGATTTCAACTACCTTATAACCAATTCTATAGATGTAGATAGATAGATAGGTACATAGATAGATAGATAGATAGATAGATAGATAGATAGATAGATAGATGATAGACTCCCAAATATATGACCACTGTATTCATTTTCTATGCTTAATGAAAAATTCTGAGCCACTCCTGTTCATATGTCCATATCCTTCATATTAAAATTTAATAGGAAAATTCTCACTGGGATATGTTCCGTCCATAGCCTCCCCCACATCTTTTAGGCTCTTCACGCCTCCACATGGACAAGGATAACATCTGAAATGAAGAGACCTTGAATTTCCATTTCCAAATTCCAACAAAAGGCAGAATTCTCCTTTGTTGAATATCTCACTTCACTACAAACTCTAAATCTTTTTGTGGCTTAGGAAAAGTTGGCACGTGGCAGAGTCCTGCTGAACAGATTGAGACATCAGAGAATGGGCCCTTGGCCATGCCTGGCACACGTTCTGAAGACATGGCCCCATGCCACCTTCCCCCTCACATTCATTGTGCCATTAACACTAGGAATGGGCTCAATAGCTAGGGTAACTTGGACTTGAAACATAACCTTGAAATTCATGGATGCATTTGAAGGATGAAAAAGAATGCTCTGTAGCTCTTCAGCTGACTCTAGCCATGAGAATAAGAACTCCCATCAATTGAGTAGAGCTGTACCACACATAGTACTAAATACTCTTCTTGCGTTGTCCCTTTGAACCCTCATCACAACCCTGTGTGGTAGATCCTATTGTAATCCTCATTTTAACAGTTGAAGAAATTTGACCTAGGAAACTTAGTGAACCTGCCCTGGATCAGGATTCAGACCCAAGTAGCAGGCAGGCTCTCCATCATAACACAATGTTGCGTGTTAAGAATAAAAATAGTGCCTGGATCATGGCTATAGAATTGTGGAAATGAATGTTATGACGGAAGGAGGCTTAAACATCATTTAGCCTGATGGAAAACCTGAGGCTGAGGGAGAGAAGTGACTTCCCCAAAGCCACATAGCAAGATAACCAGACACTGAAATCTAGCCTTGATGCCCCAATTCTTTTGCAGTGCATGCCTTGTTATTTTAGGATATGTATACAAAACAGCACACATCAAGTTATTCAACACGCACCACCATTATAGATGTACCAGTTATTCTAAAATATGTGCATACAACTTGGCAAATGACAACCATCCTGAGACTATCTATCTCTTGCCTTAGGACTCCTGGACCTCCCCACAACTAAGAAATTAAAGGGCTAGTATCTATCCCCTTTGGCCAGTTTCCATTCTGATTAGTCAATCCCTTCCCTCAGTTAAATATTTTTAGTATGAACACTTCCTTAACACAAAAGCCAGCACACATACTCTTCTCCCTCCAGATAATAGGAAATTAATGAATGGATTGCATCTCAGTCATTTGGGATACAGTGTTGTCTCAAATATAAGAGATTGATGAAAGCTAATCAAGCCAACCATGCGCAGGACAACAGAGGAGAAAGTTCTGCCCCAGCATTCGGGGACTCTGAGGAGGTCTTGTCATCTCCTTCCAGGTGTGGGTTAAAATGTTCTCTCCCCACAGAGAGGAAGTTCAGAGCATCTGAATTGTCAGAGGTAAGAAGGGTCTTGCCCCCACCTCTCTCACTTTTCTTATTTCTTTTTAAATTGCCAGACCCATGCCTCAAGTCATGAGAGCCCTACTGACAACAAGTGGAAATACATGGAAAACAAAGCTTGCCTGCTGCATAGACAGCTGCCCCAGCTCCTTTTGAAGACAATGGGAGGTAAGCCGTTATTTCTGCTTCCTCAGCTGCAGAGATGGAGAAACGATTGCTAGTGGAAGGGAAGCCCTGATGTACAGAATGCCCTGCATGAGTCAGCCAACCATGCACTACTAGCCCATGTGAAAACCATCAGACAATGACTGGTCTTCATGGGATGATGGCTTACAGAGAACTGACTTAAGCTATTTGAATATCTGTTCTCCTGTTATGCCTTACCAGGATTTACATATCACCAAATAATCCTTAATTATGAATTGTTAGGCATATTCATCAAGAACATTCTTTTATGGACCAGAAATCTATTTCAGTAGTAGCCACAACCTTCTTGTATGATGTCTGAAGCAAGAGATACACCCTGGTTGAAAGCAAATATAGGAAAGGCCTGAAAATTCCTTAGCCACCTCTCCTTTACCTTATTCTCTGGATGTTGGCTTACTTGTCATTCCCTATTCCAGCCCTCTCCTCCAGACTAAGTTAGCATTCCCACAGCACTTTATGATTTCCCGTTTGTAGCATTTATTGCATTTATAATTGTTTTCTTAAAGCTTGTCTTCCCCACTAAACCCTAATACCCATGAGAGATGAGTGTGCATTACTCTTACTAACATTTCCCCATACGCAGAGGAGTGTGTTGTTTAACAGTAAATATTCACTGAATGATGGAAGAACATTGCACAATGTTGATATGAAACCATAGCTATTTACGGAGTGGGCTCTTTAACCATCATTTGAATATGTGGGAAAGGCACTTAAAAAGACCTAAAGTCACCCAGCCACCCCATTCCTCCCACCCCCTACCACTCCAGCAACCCTCAGTTTCCTGATGTAATGTATGGTGGTTAACATAACATAATAATAATAAAAAAAAAAATGTAAAAAAAAAAAAGACCTAAAGTCATCCATGAATACATCAAGTTCTTTAGCTTCACCAACTCACAAAACACTTTCCAGTTCATCTTCTCTTCCTGTTTATTTAAGTGCATTCTCTCCTACACTGTGATTTAAAGAAACTTCCATTCCATGTTATTGTAATTGATGCATAACTGAATTTTCCTCAGACTGGGGAGCTGGCTTACTGTTCCAGACCAGTGAGAGTTGGCTTACTGTTCCTTGGGGTTCTGTGAATTCCCTATGAGATTAGTAAAGAGATGTAAGCATATGCTGACTCATGCAGATGAACATTTAAAAACTGAATGGAGCCATATGATTTCACTATCTGGAGGCTTTAAAATATATTTCAAATTCTCTAACACCCCTCCCTTCAGCAAGTGGAGTCTCATTTCCCTTCCCTTAAAATGCAGGCAGGACTTAGTGACTTGCTTCTAGTGAATGATGTGAGACAAAGCGACCTTGCATGACTTACAAGGCTAGGTTAGAAAAGGTGATATGGCTTCCACCTGGCTCTCTGTCGTGGGGCATGCATATGGGAAGCTCTGAGTCATCATAGAAGAAATCCAGCTTTTGTGACACTGCCACGCTATAGCGACCAAATGGAGAGACTTTATAGAGACTGCTAGTAGAACCCCAACTATTCAAGTCCTCCTAGTCCCGCTAGCAGGCAGGTGAGTGACGAAGACTTTGAGAGGACCCCAGCCTCAGCCACCAGCTGACTATGACCTCATGGAAGGCCCCAAGCCAGAACTATCCAGCTGAGCCACTCCTGGGTTCCTGGCCCAAAGAAAGCAGGAGAGGTAGGTGATTATTGCTGTTTTAAGTCACTGAGTTTTGTGGTGTCCGTTACAAAGTAGTAGATAACTACTATGCTGTGGTTACTTGCAGCTGAGTTTATGATTGCATTGCAACCATGTATTTCTTAGAGGCCATGAGAAGAGAATACAGACAGACTTAATAAATGCATGTCAAGTGAGGGATAAAGTTTTGCAGTAGTTCAACTAGAGAACAGTGACAAGTAAATGGCTCATCACAACCAGCTTGGTGTTTCTGGCAGGCTGAACTCAAAGGGATCTTTGTTCCATCAATACCCTACTCAAATTGCAAGCAGTTAGTGGGTTTCAGCAAAACAACTTCAACGACATTTAACAAATGCAGTCAATTTTCATTGTTTTGGCTTTGTTTGGCTTTTTTTTTCCCTGATTCTCTTGGACATTATAATTCCTTATATCTAGTTTTACATGTAGACATTTAAGTAACATTATAATACTTAAGTCAGCACCAGAGAACCACAATTATTTTTTCTTTAACAGGAATCTTAAGTTTGAGAATCAGGGAGGATCTTCAGATAGGCATCTGCCTCTATAACACCCTATCTCCTCATTTACTATTAAATGAAGGACTACCTACTACTCTCCCCCTAGAGCATTTTTCTTAATTGTCCATATATGTAGCAGTTCGATTGCAAGTCTCAGTGTATCTGCCTTTAAGTCTCTCAGTTGTTGAAGACTTGCATTTGAACTACCCCTGTTGATGAAAATGTTTTCAGTCTATGTATTCTTAGTATACATGGCCTGACTTCGATCAGCAATCATGTATTCCTCCTGTTCATCAGTTTCAGCTAGATGATGGCCACCTGTCTTTGCAGTGCCCTTGACCCCAACCTAACCTTTTGAGTAGAGCACTTAAATTACATTTTAAATCAGACCATTATAAATGTAACTGGTGAACATTCATTTGTTTTTAGATTACGCTTAAACCAAAATACAGGAGCTTAATTTAGAGCTTATGTTAATACATGTAATGTGTATTTTTGTTTTATGTGGGTGAAGAGTAGCTATAATGCATGGCTTTCTGTTACGTGCTGTGAAAAATATCCAGAAGTAGTTTGACTTCTTAAATAGAATGATAGATTATTAATTATCATAATAATACAGCAATCATTTATCGTACTCTTGCAGTACTTACACGGTATGGTATTAAACACTTCGTATATATTATTTTGTTAAATCCATAGAATTGGCCTAATGGTTTAGGTAAAACTGTCATTTTACAGAGGCTCAGAAAGGATGGTCATTTGTCTATAGATAACATAACTGGAAATAGAGGAGCTAAGATTTGAATCCAGATAGGTTGGCCCTTATCAACTCAGAATTCTCTTGAATTCTGAATTCTCTTGACTCATTATACTTTCTTGTTTGCTGTATTTCAGTGAAGCTAAGTTGTCATCAGTTGTAAGGTGTTCCATTATCTGTATGCCAGGACAACAAAGACAGTTGACATTATGGCACAGAGCTTTAATACCAGAAATTTTACTTTATATTGATTTGAAAGTGTTCTGTGCTCAATATCGCTCGGCATCAGGGAAATCCAAATCAAAACCTCAATGAGACACCACCTCACACCAGTCAGAATGGCTAAAATTAACAAGTCAGGAAATGACAGATGTTGGCGGGGATGCGGAGAAAGGGGAACCCTCCTACACTGTTGGTGGGAATGCAAGCTGGTGCAGCCACTCTGGAAAACAGTATGGAGGTTCCTCAAAAAGTTGAAAATAGAGCTACCATATGATCCAGCAATTGCACTACTGGGTATTTACCCCAAAGGTACAAAAGTAGGGATCCAAAAGGCTACGTGCACCCCGATGTTTATAGCAGCAATGTCCACAATAGCCAAACTGTGGAAAGAGCCCAGATGTCCATCGACAGATGAATGGATAAAGAAGATGTGGTATATATATACAATGGAATATTATGCAGCCATCAAAAGGAATGAGATCTTGCCATTTGCAACGACGTGGATGGAACTGGAGGGTATTATGTTGAGCGAAATAAGTCAAACAGAGAAAGATCTGTATCATATGACCTCACTGATATGAGGAATTCTTAATCTCAGGAAACAAACTGAGGGTTGCTGGAGTGGGGGGTGGGGTGGGAGGGATGGGTGGCTGGGTGATAGACACTGGGGAGGGTATGTGCTCTGGTAAGCGCTGTGAATTGTGCAAGACTGTTGAATCTCAGATCTGTACCTCTGAAACAAATAATGCAATATATGTTAAGAAAAAAAAAAAGAAGAAGAAGAAGGTAGCAGGAGGGGAAGAATGAAGCAGGGGAAATCGGAGGGGTAGACGAACCATGAGAGACGATGGACTCTGAAAAACAAACTGAGGGTTCTAGAGGGGAGGGGGGTGGGAGGATGGGTTAGCCTGGTGATGGGTATTGAGGAGGGCACATTCTGCATGGAGCACTGGGCGTTATGCACAAACAATGAATCATGGAACACTACATCTAAAACTAATGATGTAATGTATGGGGATAATATAAGAATAAAAAAATTTAAAAAAAAAAAGTGTTCTGTGTAATAAACAGACCCCGTCAGACATACATATTTACCTAACATTACTGTTGTACATATATAGAACAGAAAGCAAAAACAAGTAAATGGAAGGAGGTATTTTTCTAGTCTAGCTCTTCTGAATTGTTTTGTAGATGAAGGTCATCAGCGTTTGTAGTTTTCCACATTGTCATGTTCCATGTCAATGAGAGGATTGATGATGTAGCATTTCTTAAAAGAATGCTCCATTATTGGATCTGGATTTTTCTTCCAAACTGCTATCATCTTTTTTCGGAACTTTGATAGGTGTGTGCAGGCACAGCCAATGCCCCTCATTTAAATATTTAAAAAATGCACATCTTAGAGTCAATGGAATATGATACTATGTTTCCTTCAGACCATGCTAAAAAATCAACTACCCACGAATTTAAGTATTTTATAATATTTTAGTTATTCTAGGCACCTAGGTCTAATCTCAGATGCTAGCTTGCTATGGATCATTAGTATACATTTATGTTGCTTTACTTACATTTCTCTGTTTGTTGAATGCTTATGATACATCAAGTACTGATCTAGATTCTTGGCATGTGTTAATTCGCCAAGGAAGCAGCATATTGTCATTGTCCCATTATATCAATAAGGAAACTGAGATTTAGAGTTTAAATACTTTTTTCAGTCCCATTGCTTTCTATTTGGCAAAGGCAGGATTTGACTTCAACCTCTTGGACACCAACATCCATTCTGCTAACTACTTTGCTATATTACCATCCACATAAACACACACATTGGCAGTGTTAGAACTGGTAACTGATGTTAATGATCCTTATTATGTGCTATGTACACTATTTTTACTTCCCTTAGCCTTCCCTCTGCCTGCACTTGGTATATAAAGTACCATGAACATGGATTTTTATTGACTCCTCTCCCCAAAGCCAAATATTAACAGTAACCCTTCAGGGACTGATCTGCTTGTAATGGGCCAATATTTCTTGCAGCCTGGCAATGCATCACTCCTATGGCTGTCTTGCTTTAAAGGTTTCTGGGGGAATTGTCTATAAAAATGACCACAGAATTGGCCATATCACAGGACTCTTACAAGCCATAGGTCCCGGCATGCCTATTTTACCACTGATCAGAAAATTTCATCCTGGCAATCATTCTATAGGAAATTAATGCTGCTGCCTTCACATGTTTATGGCCCACCGTATGAAAGGAAAGAATATGTGTCATTGTTGTATGTTGTGCCTGAAGCTGCCCAGTATAGTAATGCTTAGGTAATTGTGCTGCTTTTAAAAAGAAGGAAAAATAATCTCAGAGGCACTCTGACCTCATTTTATAAACTGGAGGTCAGTGGCACAAATGTTGAGCAATACTCGTAAACCTCATGCCGTGCAAGTAACTAATCCAAGAATCACTTAAAAATAAAGTGAAGCAGCTTTTTTAATGTCAGGTCATGGATTTGGGGAACCTTCGTTTAAAGATTCTTCCCATGGAACCTTGAGACAGTGCCTTTTAACAAATCCGTCCAGGTGTTTGGAAACAAGAGGATCCCTGTAATTTCTAGAACTCAAGAGCCACACTTTGTTGGAGAAAAGTCCGTTTCATCTGAAAAGGTTTGCGAGACACTGTGAACTAATGCACTGGGCGAGATGTTCATGTGATTCCTCCTATCTTCTCAGGTCTCAGCATCTGGGGCCACCATCTTCCCAGCTCCCCAGAGGGGAAATGATTCTTGATTCGCCCAAACAATTCTTATTCCGTCCCTATCTGCAATCCAACCTTGAGTTCTACTTCTACTCCTTAATCTGTCTACTTCTCTCCAACCCAAGTGTCATTCCTTCCAGTCCTTCCAGTCGTGTCCATGGCCCACCTGGACAGAGGCCTCAGCCTCAGCTTAATCTCACTGACCTGTCTTCCTCCAGTCCTGCTGTTGATAAAGCACAAAGTCTAGTCTCTTCACTCCCTGGATTAAACTCTTTGATGGCTTCCTGTGGTTCTGGAGATGAAGCCCCTAGTTTGTCATATAGCTTACAAGGCCCCTCATGATGAGGCCCCCGTGGACTTCTCTCCCCTTCCCCCCACCCTCCCCCTGCCCACCCCCATTTCTCTGCTTTGGTCAAATGGAACAATTTTCAACAACTTAGTTGTCCTACCTGCAGCCCCTCACACATGGGATTTCTCTGCCTGAAATATCCTGCCCTTTCAAGTCCAAAGTCAGATTTTACATCCTTTTAGGGTGACTTCGCCCATGTGCGGGCTAGTTTCATGCCCTCTGCCCTCTGCTCTTGTACTTCATGACTATCCTCTCAGTTAATTCTATAATTACCCCCTTACTTACCTTTTTCACCAACTATGAATTCCTTGAGAGCAGAAACAGTTTCTTGTTCCCTGTCGTATATCAGGGCAGTGGTTTCCATACTGTGTATAGCCCTGGTGGTACAAAGGACAATATGAAGCAGTGTAAAGA